TTGGATAATGCCCCTTTCCCTACAGACTCACCTCCATTTGAAGCCATCCCCTCAGGCTCAGTGCTGATCACCACTGTCTGGAAGTTTCCCCATGAGAAAAGTCAAGGACAGGACCCAAAGAGTGACCTGCCTCAACAGATTCTCCTGAGTTCAGGTGGATCAGGGAAAATTTGAAAGTAAATAAGTTTAGAACATAGGACCCCAGACATTCTGCAGAGGGGGAGGGGCGCTGCAGCAGGTACTGGTAGGGGTGGGGGACATTCTGTGAAGGGCTCCAGCCAATCGGCAAGAACTGAGGTTCCCTTCCAGCTGAACGGCAGCAACACAGACTGTGTGCGCATCTTTAGGCAACTTTTAAATTGTCCTTCTGACTCACAGCACAAAGCTTCAACCTGATGTCCCCTTTACTTCCATTCTTTGTCAACAGACCTACTTTTGTGCCCCTCAACCCATGCTGCTTCCCACTTGGGCTCTTTCCCACTCTTGATGAATTTCAACAGGCGCTGCGCTTCCTAAACACAATTTAGAACACTTCCTAAGAACCCCTGTGTTTGTCAGACGATCCACGTCTGGATCCGCTGCCTGGTTCAGATGATCCAGGCTATTAGGTGGCTGTGTGATCATCACTGTTATGGAAGCCGTCCTTGAGCCCCCAGGTCGTGTATGTTGCTGGAATCTGTCCACACCAGCAGGCCAGCCTTACTTCCCATCTCCTTTGCTGGAAAGCCTCAGTCCGGGAAAGAGTGGCTATGTGGCCAGAAAGTCTCTCATTTTGTTTCCCAGCATATTGTGCTGGTATTAAATGTATATTTTTTATCTTTTAAATGATTTTAATTTAACCAAACAATACTTTTGCATGGTTCCAAATTCAAATTGTGCGCAGTGGAGTAGGCAGTGACCAGTCTTCCTCCCACAATTTTCCCTGACCACATTTTCTTTCCTGGAGCAAACAGGTGCTCTGATTCTTTTTCATCTTTCCAGAGATAAATTATGCAAACAAAAGCATAATGAAGCTATTTCTGCTGTCTACAAATGCATTCGGGTTTTTTTGGGTAAAAGTTAATAATATGTTCCAGTATTCTGATATTTGCAGTGACTCTGTTTGTCTCACTAGTCACGTGGTTCCTCTCTTTATTTCTGCAGGTAAATTGCCAGAATGAGACATTGTGCCGTTTTTTTGTTTTGTTTCGTTTTGTTTTTTGAGACAAAGTCTCACTCTGTCACCCAGGCTGGAGTGCAGTGACACGATCTTGGCTCACTGCAACCTCCACCTCCCAGGTTCAGGCAATTCTCCCGCCTCAGCCTCCTGAGTAGCTGGGATTACAGGCATGTGCCACCATGCCCAGCTAATTTTTGTATTTTTAGTAGAGATGGGATTTCACCATGTTAGTTAGGCGGGTCTCGAACTCCTGACCTCATGATCTGTCCGCCTCAGCCTCCCAAACTGCTGGGATTACAGGAGTGAGCCACCGAGCCCAACTGTACCGTTTTCTAAAATTAAAAATGCATGAAAGAATAGTGGCAGGATTTAGCAAGTTTGAATAAGGAATGCCAAGTGGAATTTGAATTCAAGATAAACAGTAAATTAGTTTTATTGTAATTGTGATCCACATGATATTTAGAGTATAGTTTTACAAAAAAATCTGTTTGTCCTTTATCTGTGTTATTCACCACTCACTGCGATGTGGAAGTTTATCTGGTAACTCTTCCCAAAAAGTGTAACATATTAAGTCATTATTGTTAAGCCTCCACTGGGAGAGTGAGAACTTGCAGTAAGGAGACTCAGGTGTGAATCTTGGCTGCACCACTAAACACAACCATTGCAGAGAAAATAGCAGGCTGATTTGCTGCCGTAAAGTCTGGAGTTGCCATTATACCCTTCTCAGCTTCCAGGTTTAGTGGCAGTAGGCCCAGATGTAAGGGACAGGAGGACAGAACACCATCTTTTTCTTTCCTAACATAAAACAGCCTACAATTCCTAGAGCTCTGGTTTCTCTAGGAGTTAGGAATCCACTACCCATGTCCATTCTGAGACACGCCAGGATGCTCTCCACTAATGTCCCACACCCATTCCCATGCATCCCCGCACATGTCAGAATCCTGGCTGGCCTCTCTCAGCTCACTGCTGGCCTCGTCTTCACCATACAGCCTTGCTCTTTGGAATTCTGTGTCATCGCATGTGGTTCTCAGCATGGGAATTATTGTAGCCTATCTTTAAAAAAAAAACTTGTTTCATTCTCATTTTCACACTAAGAGTCACTGACTGTTTATCAGCATCCAAATGGCAGGAAAGAGCACTCATGTTCTGTGCTGTGAACAGGAGTGTTAGGAAACTGGTCAGAGGAGATGAGGAGTGAGTACTGAGAGCACAGCAACAAAATCTCCTGAGACACACACGTCACTCCCTGCTGGGCCGCAGTTAATTTTGCATTGATGGGAGGAGGTTGGGGAAGGGAAGAGGCTTTCAGATGGAGGGGTGCACACTGTGATCATTTCCTGTAACACTCCCTGTTGGCACTTAGGAAGCATTTGCCCCTTCTGAAGACAATTAGACTCAGGAAGGCATAGTTGCAGGAAAACATAACCAGGGGCCACTTGCAGGAAAGGTGACGGATTGCACGTCTCAAACCCAGGGTTCCCCCCTTCTTGCCCCAGTTGTGTGAGAAACTCATTTTCTAACCCTGTCCAACATCCCTCATGGGTTCTCGGTTCGGTCCCAACTCTAAACCTGAATGGTCCTTGAGCATTTCTATGAAATGCATCCACAGTGGCCACTGGGAGGGGAGTGACCTCCACTGTGGGTGACGGAAGATCCGCTGGGGAGTCTTGGCCAGAAAGAGGGTCCCGACCTGAAAGAGAGGGTGTGCAGAAATAAAGAGAGACAGAATAGCTGGGCTCTGGAGACCTGAAAAGGCAACACCTAAACAGCGAATTTATTTTTGTCCAGGGTCTCAATATATACCTTAAGATCAAAGGTGTTTACACAATCAACAAGAAGAGGAATGGAAATTTACAAAATATAGGATCACGAAAACAATCTTAAGTATGACATTCAAGGATCATAAAAGTGGGCAGGTGGTATGCTTTATCTGTTTTTACCAAAACACACTTGTGAATAACAATACCCAAGAGTCACAAGCTAAGCCATAAAGTCATTATCTAGGGTTCAAGGTGGTCATGCGGATAAGGTAAAACTTCTTGAAAAGTAAAGTCGTAAAAGTCATGCAGAGGCCTAGTGGAGACATAATGTCTGACAAAACCACACGACCCTTGCCCAAGTGGCATTGTAGTCAGAAGTAGAAACCTTTGCAACATCAGCCATTTCTTAGTTCCTTCTTTCCCATAGCTCGACTGCCTCTGGCAGGAAACTGTGTTTTGGGCTCAAGCTCACCATCTGGTGAGGCCCACACATTAGGGGGCCTTACACGGGAGCGATCCCCACAATTTTATTTAGTTTTTCTGTTTGTTTGTTTTGTTTTGAGCCTCACTTTGTTGCCCAGGCCAGAGTACAGCGGCACAATCTTGGCTCACTGCAACGTCTGCCATCCGATTTAAAGTGATTCTCCTGTCTCAGCCTCCCAAGTAGCTGGGATTACAGGTGTGCACCACCACACCCAGCTAATTTTTCTATTTTTAGTAGAGACAGGGTTTCACCATGTTGGCCAGGCTGGTCTTGAAATCCTGATATTAGCTGATCCGAACGCCTTGGCCTCCCAATGTTCTGGGATTATAGGCATGAGCCACCGCACCAGCCAAAAATGTTAAATTGACTCACATTTTATTTAACTTGCTATTGGGTTAACATAGTTAGCATTTACCTTTTGGGTTCGTAAAAACATGTTATCAAGGTGTTAGGCAGGAGTTTACGTCTTATTTATTTGTTTTTATTTTTATTTTTTTTTAAGGACAGAGTCTCGCTCTGTCACCAAGGCTGGAGTTCAGTGGCATGATCTGAGCTCACTGCAACCTCTGTCTCCTGGGTTCAAGCGATTCTCCTGCCTCAGCCTCCCGAGTAACTGGGATTACAGGAGCGTGACACCATGCCTAGCAAATTTTTTGTATTTTTAGTAGAGACCGGATTTCATCAGGTTGTTGGCATGTTACTGGTTTGAGTGATTCTCGTATACTGCACTTTCAGAAGTTTATCTACTTCTCAATCCTGTGTCTTAGCTAGATGTTTATGATCTGATTCACTTTCAAAACCTAATGTCCATGAATAATAATCTTATATTACTATTTTCCCCCAACATTCAAGAGAAAACGTTGATTCTTTTCCAGTCTCCAAATCTAAACTTGAATGGTTTCACTTAAAAGTTACTCATTTGAGGCTGGGCACAGTGGCTCATGCCTGTAATCCTGGCACTTTGGGAGGCCAAGGAAGGTGAATCACTTGAGGTCAGGAGTTTGAGACCAGCCTGGCCTACATGGTGAAACCCCATCTCTACTGAAAATAAAAGAATTAGCCAGGCGTGGTGGCACACACCTGTAATCCTAACTACTCAGGAGGCTGAGGCACAAGAATCACTTGAACCCGGGAGGCAGAGGTTTCAGTGAGCCGAAATCGCACCACTGCATTTTCAGCCTGGGTAACAGACCAAGATTCTGTCTAAAAAAAACAAAAATTGTTTGAGAACACTTAATAGTGAGTGCAACTATTAATTTAGTTACTTTAAGTTGCACTGACGCTATCATTACATCACAGGGCACCTAACATATAAAACAAATGAGATGAAGTCAATTATATTTTTTACATTAACAGTTCTACATAAATACAATAATCCCATGGTAAATTTATTTTAGACCCATTGACAATTATCTGTAAGCATAGCTAAATGTAACCATTAGTACTTTATTTTGTCCCTCTACTTTAAGGTTTTAAGTTAAAATGTCATTATTTCTTTATCTGAAGAATTAAAGGAAACAGCTTGGTGGTTTGGGAAGAACACTTGGTGTTGGATGCTCCCTAAATTTGACCCTGGCAAAGTTCTGATTAGCTTGAGATTTAGAAAGTAAGCTGGGACCTGAAAAGTTAGAGTTCCAATTTTGATTATTTGGAAAATTTTTGTTCCTCATCTTGCATGGCCTGCCCTGCAGCTGCTGATGAGTTATAATGCTGTCTTTTTTCTTATGAAGAATCTTCACTGGGGATTCTGACCTTCGGCCTATTTTTTGTTTTTGTTTTTTGTTTTTTGAGATGGAATCTCACTCTGTTGCCCAGGCAGGAGCTCTGTGGCATGATCTCAGCTCACTGCACCCTCCGCCAATTTTTGTATTTTGGTAGAGACAAGGTTTCATCATGTTGGCCAGGCTGGTCTCGAGCTCGTGACCTCAGGTGATCCACCCACCTCGGCCTCCCAAAGTGCTGGGATTACAGGCATGAGCCACCGTGCCCAGCCTGGCCTATGAAGCTTTTGTTCGTCCTGCTAGCATTTCTAGATTGAGGGGCTGGAATGTTATATCTCGCTCCATCACCTGTCTTCAGTTTCTTTGTCATCTGTTCTCTTCCTTGGTGTCGACACCAGGACAATAGGTGTGGCTTTCCGACAGTTTCTCTCCTTTTGTCTCAATACAGAAGTTTTCATGGGCTGATCTGCTGAGTTCAGCCTGGGAACTGAGGCCAACGTCGGAGTCCCCTCATCACACAAGTTTGAAAGAAATCCTAGTGACCTGAAGCTCAGAACCATGGATGGCAGAGGCTCCCTTTGGACATGGAATTCTCCATCCCTTTCCAGGGAGGGAACAAAACCCACAATCACTGACGAGTGAACTGCTGACCACCCCTGCATCTCCAACCCCAAGATTTAAAAAATCTTTTTTTCTCTCTTATCTTTACAAAAGTAACATGGTGGCCAGGTATGGTGTCTCACGCCTGTAATCCCAATACTTTGGGAGGCCAAGGCAGGTGAATTTCCTGATGTTAGGAGTTTGAGACCAGCCTAGCCAACATGATGAAACCCTGTCCCTACTAAAAATACAAAAATTAACCAGGCTTGGTGGTGGGTGCCTGTAATCTCAGCTACTCAGGAGGCTGAGGCAGGAGACTCGCTTGAAAACAGGAGGGGGAGGTTGCAGTGAGCCAAGATCATGCCATTGTGCTCTAGCCTGGGTGACAAGAGCAAAACTGTCTCAAAAAAAAAAAAAAAGCTGACCTAACCAACTTCACCTTGCTTCTAACCTGCAAGCTGCCTTTGTTCATTCCTGGGGGTAGGCTGAACTCACTTTGGGAATAACTTATGTTAGAAACAAATGCTTGTTCCTCGGTGCCAAAAAGAAGAATCAGCACTCAAAGAACTTTTCTCAGCAAGGCGATTTTACTTTCTGCAGAAACGGTGCTCTTTGGAAGTCTGATTGCCGTGAGAGCACATGAGATAAAGAAAAGCAGAAGTTTTTATCCCTGATGCATTGGGTCCTTACTGCTATGTCTTATCTCCATTGGCTGGAGCTGGACTGCACTATCTAGACTGATCTTGATTGACTAAGAACTTAAAACGTTCCTAAATAGGTAAAGGCACAATGAAGAACAAAGAGAGGAAGGGGGTTATTTACGGGAAACTAGGAGAGTAATAACATTTCCAAATAA